GCAAGCATTGCAACTAAATGAGTTAGTTGCGGGATGATGTATTACAGAACGAGTAAAGAGACTTACCGGTAACGAGATTGAACTAGGTATTGGAATACCGACGATCGAATCTCGGGCAAGTAACATACCGATGACAAAGGGAACAACGTATGTTGTTATGCGGTCTGACCGATAAAGATCTTCGTAGAATATGTAGGAGCCAATATGAGCATCCAGATCCCGCTATTGGTTATTGACCGGAGACGAGTCTCGGTCATGTCTACATTGTTCTCGAACCCGTAGGGTCCGCACGCTTAAGGTTACGATGACAGCTATATTATGAGTTTATGCATTTTGATGTACCGAAGGTTGTTCGAAGTCCCGGATGTGATCACGGACATGACGAGGAGTCTCAAAATGGTCGAGACATAAAGATTGATATATTGGAAGGCTATATTTGGACATCGGAAGTGTTCCGGGTGAAATCGGGATTTTACCGGAGTACCGGGAGGTTACCGGAACCCCCCGGGAGCCATATGGGCCTTAATGGGCTTTAGTGGAAAGGAGAAAGGGGCAGCCCAAGGTGGCCGCGCGCCTCCCCCCTTCCCCTAGTCCTATTAGGACTAGGAGAGGTGGCCGGCCCCCCTCTCCCTCTTTCCCCCTCGGGGAATCCTAGTCCAACTAGGATTGGGGGGGGAGTCCTACTCCCGGGAGGAGTAGGACTCCTCCTGCGCCCTCCTCCTGGCCGACGGCCCCCTCCCCCTTGGCTCCTTTATATACTGAGGCAGAGGCACCCCAGAAACACACAAGTTGATCCACGTGATCTATTCCTTAGCCGTGTGCGGTGCCCCCAGCCACCATAAACCTCGATAATACTGTAGCGGAGTTTAGGCGAAGCCCTGCTGCTGTGGTACATCAAGATCGTCACCACGCCGTCGTGCTGACGGAACTCTTCCCCGACACTTTGCTGGATCGAAGTCCGGGGATCGTCATCGAGTTGAACGTGTGCTCGAACTCGGAGGTGCCGTAGTTTCGGTGCTTGATCGGTCGGATCGTGAAGACGTACGACTACATCAACCAAACGCTTCCGTTGTGGATCTACTAGGTATGTAGATCACACTCTCCCCTCGTTGCTATGCATCACATGATCTTGCGTGTGCATAGGAAATTTTTTGAAATTACTACGAAACCCAACACATGGATCCATTGTTTTCCATCTGATGAGGTCTTCGTATTTCGTACACTATGATTAATTATGTAATGCATATATGTGTGGACATATCATTGGAATTTAGCTACCATATGTTCAATTGCAATTGTTGCGAAATCTGATGAATGTTCTTCCTATGGACACTATCTGTTCAATTAAATATTGTGGCGAATTTGCTTTTTGCAGCCGATTCAAAATGGGATATTTTTGTTTTAACCTGGCAATTGCTCCGCACACGGTTCAACTAAATGGGTGTGTGCGATCCACATCGTAAAGCATATGTCAATCGTAGTGGAACTGTCGGTGATACACAGCAGATCGCAAATGATTTGCAGCGCTACTACGTGCGCGTAGGGTCTCCGGAACTGTTTGTGATATCACGGTATCGCATACGAGAGCTCGGAGTAAACCGTGCCCAATGTAAAATACAATCCCAGTCGTAATTTTTCAGGAAACATGTGGGATCCCAAACGAAAAGCACACGTCACTCTTGCCGCAACCATCGGTGATACACAACAAATCACAAACGGTCTGCAGTACTTGTATGTGTGCGAAGGGGCTCCTGAACCGTTTGATAGAATATTATCACACACGGTAATTGTTGGGAAACGTGTGCGATGGAGTCTTGCATGGTAGACGGGTTCCGTAGAAAACTCGTGTGCAATGGGGCACATATCGCACATAGTTCATATGTTGGCCTGTGTGCCTTACATACTGCTTCCCAAACGGTTCATTACGACACACAGTTTGGGTTCACTGCGTTATTAGAAACGTTTAATCACCGATCCCACACGTGCGAAAGAATTTAGTGTGTGCTGCATCGCACACGATTACATTTTACAAGGCCTCTGGATCATGGCTCCATATCCCTGACGGTTTATGAGTCGTGTGGGAAGGACCCCCTATCGCCCACACTCACTTAGCGACAGTTTCAAATGTCATCGCAGAAAGAGGTTAAAAACCATGTGTATAGCACCGACGCGTACTAGTGGCAACATGATTGCATCCCTGCGTTCATAACCTTGTAACCACCGCACCCACTCGATGTCTCACTCTATTGGCCTCAAATAAAAGTAAATTATTGAACTTGACCTGTCCACAATGCATGAACACCGATGGTGTGTGTGTTTCAGTATCAAGCCCTAAACTTGCTGCAATCCATTCTTTCAACTGACTGGCAGACCATATTTGAGGTGCACTCATTGGCACATCTATGTGAGTAAATTCACTTAGATCAGCTCTCATCTCAGTTGTTTGCACAGTACCAAGACCGTAATAAAATATAAACTTCGCTACATCACACATCTCGGCTCACCTAATTTTTTTTCAACAACAGATAAGTATTAAACAACAACTTAAAATATTTGCACTACTGTAGTTAATAGTGGAATATATTTGACATGTATATATATTACGGAATATTAACGGAGCAACTAAAAAAATCCACACACCTACAAATATATTATGAATATTTGCCGGAGCGACTACAATTATTAAAAGATTTAAATATTTGACGTCTACATATATTACGGATGTTACCGGAGCAACTCCAAATACTGACACACCTAAATATTTGACATTCACATATAGTACGGAATATTACCGAAGCAACTTCAAATTTTCACGCAACTAAATAGTTGACATCTAAATATATTTACGGATACTACCGGAGCAAATAACAATAATCGCACACCTAATTTATTTCACATCGAAACGTATTACCGAATACTACCGGAGCAACTACGGAAGATAAAATATGTGTTGAAATATACCCTTGAAGCGTGCGAGCGAATGACGAACGGCGGCCTTCAATCACCGGAACCGGAGCCGGAAACTCCACCAAACTGCCGGAGCTTCACCTCCACCACACTGCCCCGACTTCACCACCACCATCTCCATCTTCGCCACAACCTCCACCAATGTGCTAAAAGAAAGCTCCAACAAAATGCTAACCACAACCACCACAAGCTACCCCATCAACAGATCGAGGTCTTCCTTGGCTCCCCTAACTATGTAGAACCCATTCACGATGCTAAATCCGCAAAAAAACCCGGCTTATTTTGGTGTAGATATTGGAGGCATTTCGGGCCTGTAATGATCTCCTCCCAACTCCACGAACTCCACGATTCTAGCTTCCCATCTCAGCTTCTCACTCCACGCAGCGAGAGAACTCCGTTCGGCTCCGATCGCTAGCTTCTCCCATCGCTACTATGGGCTGGCAGCATGGGTGGCCCGCCTTAGCACCCTAATGGGCCGGTTGGAGGCAGCCCAGCTTGGCTTTCCAGCGAAAGAAGGAGCACAAAGTATCGATTCGATCCAGCGATATGTTCCACGAGCGTACCGGTTCGATGTGCCATCAATTGGCGGTGGCAGTTGTACGTAATTTGAGCGAACTTCTCCTTAATCCGTGGAGCTGGACTTTTGGTGCTTCACGTTTTTACACTAGCGGCTGGCCGGGCTTCTCGCTTCTAGCTTCTTGGCCCAAACTCGTTCGGCTCAGCTCCACTCCAGAAATTTGTGAAGCTTGGAGTTGGAGAGCCTCCGAACACGCCCTTCATGTAAGAGGAGAAAGAAAGAATAGAGAGTTGTTGTGCGTGTGGGAGAAGAAGGAGAAAGGAGGAAGAAGCCAGCCGGTGTAGGGTCCACACCATGTCGGGCAGTAGCTGGCCTATCGGTCGACAGCAGGCTGACAGGGGCGCCCCGTGAGCCAGCCAATGGTCGGCCTGCACGTGGCCGACGGCAGCCTGGTCGACTAGTGGTTGTCTAGGCCCAATCAACCTGCTGGGGTGACTAGGCCCAAATCGGCCAGCAGCGGGCCGATTGTGTATTATTTTTGAAGTTAATATATTGGCATAATATTTATGAAAATTAATAAAAAAATATTATTAAAAAATAATCAAAATAATGAAGGTGTTTGGACTATGTTACTTCGTGCCACACGTGTGGCACTTAGGGCATCTCCAACAGTTTGTATGTTAGCTTGTTAGTAAAATATGCCATGTCATCAACCAACACCTTAACATACAACAACTTCGATGAGTTGTATGTAATTTGCCCAATAGGATGTGAAATAATAAATAAGGTGCTCTCTCATTCTACATTGGAACTTGTGCAAAGGGTGTTGGTTCATGTACATACAACCTTTTTCTTTTCCCTCATTTATTATATGACACATCATCAAAAATACTATGTGACAAAATCTACCAACAACTATCTTACAACCATTGAAGATGCCCTTATCATCTCGGTAAAAATATAATCTAATAGCTACCCCTACACAGTATCCAACGGCATGATACCAAAAGAAAAATATAATCTAATAGCTACCCCTACACAGTATCCAACGGCATGATACCAAAACGAACATAAAAACGTCGCCACGACAGTAAAATCTTTCGTATTCTTCAATACCATATGTAACTAACAATAATCTTTAGTCAATAATCTTCCTTAAATCATTCACAGTCAAAATTAACATCAGAGAAAGCATCTCGTCACAGCAAAGCACAAAATATGCCACACGTGGGGATCAGAAGCCACTCAAAAATACTATCACTGTCATACTTCCCAGATGCAATATTCGTAATCGAGGAGTTCACTAAATTTTACATTTATACCACCTCACAATTTTTTTTGAGAAAGTCATTCTTCTGGCATCCCCTATTTTACCTTTGTACCCCACTTGCAATGAATTCAATCAAATAAAAATATACACGTATTGAACATTGGAACTTTATGGAAGAACTACTTTTCCTGCTCCAGTTTAGTGCACCATTTTCAGACGCTCTACAAGTGCAACAGTAGAGGTGGACTACAGGGACTGAACAATCGGTTGGTCCGCAAAAGGGCCATATAACCAACCCCTGGCGATATGACCATAAGCAACCTCCGTCAAGTGAATACCGTCCCAGCTCCAATGGGTCGATGGATCAGCGCAAGCAGTGGCACCAGGCTCCCCACATTTGGCTGTGACATTGAAGTTGTAAACGGCTTTGGCAACAGACCCAGGAGACCCACAACATGCCCTAGGTAACTGCTTGTAAAATCCTGAATTGCAAAGTGGAAATGGTTAGGCCCTGCATTGTGCCATTATCATCAACAACTGAGCGTCTGCATACTTTCTAGTAGTTGAGACAGAAACCCCAAGACACTGAAATGGAAATTCTAGAGGATGAGTACAAGTTATCTAGTTATCACAGGGACATGTATCAAGAAACTGCACCACCAACCAATCCTCTAAACTAATAAAGATACAAGCATCTTTTCAGGAAAAAAATACAAGCATAAAGCATAACAAAGTTAACTGCCAACAAGTTGAGCAAGCAACAGATGGAAGCGACGATGGACCACCAAAAAAGATGGATCAGCTATGCAATTCATAGATGTTTCTACCGTGTTTATTCCGGTGATCTAAGATTTGTGTGAGGACCACAATCCTGAGGATAAGGTACCGGAGAGTCATGTACCTCAGAAGGTCCGTCGCACCCGCACTAAGAAGCAATGTGATCATTCTGCGGTGTGTCGCAGTAACCGTTAAAAGGTCAAAAGAAAAAAGATATTCATGACGAATGAGAGGTATCTTTTGGAATAGCAGAGGTCTTCAGGACTTGGCTAAAAGACGGTTTTTCGGATACTTCTAGAGAATAGACTTTGGACTTCACCACTCTGGTGATTGGTCGTTCGAATTTTGCCACGCCTTTTTTGGACTTGATATGTGGTGGTGTTGATTTTTCATGGTTTTATTACCTCCGAGGGGAAGGTCTAGGGGCATTTTGTTAGGTGCGAATAATACTAACTTGAGGTTCTGAATATGGAGGTTGGTGACTTTGTGGTCAAGTTTCATGTTCACTCAAGAAGTAATGGCTTCTCATGGGCTCTTCTGGCTGTTTATGGGGCAACACCTTTCCGCAAAAGGAAGTTTTTGAGGTCATGTCTCATATTGAGCGTAATAAAGCATTGGGGTTCCCCGCCGATTTCTATTAGAGATGTTTGGGGATCATTAAGGGTGATCTTCTTCCAATGTTTGAGGACTTACACAATGATGATCTTTCATTATTTCGTCTCAACTTTGGAATTATCACGCCTTTACCCAAGAAAGTGGATGTTGTTCGGATTGAGCAATTTAGACCATATGCTTGCAGAACGTTAGTTTTAAAATCTTCACAAAGGTGGGCACTAATAGATTTTCTACTATTGCTCATAAGGTCATGCAACCAACGCAGATTGCCTTTATGACTGGTCCCAATATTCTTGAGGGAGTGGTTGTCCTTCATGAGACGATCCATGAGCTCCACACTAAGAAACTCGATGGAGTTATCTTTAAGATGGACTCTGATAAGGCCTATGACAAAGTGAAGTGATATTCTTGAGGGAGTAGTTGTCCTTCATCAGACAATCCATGAGCTCTGCACTAAGAAACTCGATGGAGTTATCTTTAAGGTGGACTTTGGAAAGGCCTACGACAAAGTGGTATATTCTTCAACAAGCCCTTCGCATTAAAGGTTTTACGTCTCAATGGAGGCAACAAGTGGCTTCTTACGTTCATGGCGGGAGTGTTGCGGTCAAGGTGAATGATGACATTGATCATTATTTCCAGACCCAAAAGGGATTGAGGCAAGGTAACCCCATGTCTCCAATTTTATTTAATATTGTGGTGGACATGTTGGCTATTCTCATAGCAAGGGCTGAAGAGTATGATCAGCTTGGGTGGGGGCCTTATTCCGCATCTGGTTGATGGATGCGTGTATATCCTCCAGAATGCGGATGACACGGTCATTTTTATGGAACATAACCTTCAAAAGGTGATTAATATGAAGTTGATCTAGTGTGTTTTCAAATAACTTTCGGGTCTCAAAATCAATTTCCACAAAAGAGAGCTCTTCTATTTTGGTAAGGCCAAGAGGAGAGTTAGTACATGCAACTGTTTGGCTGTGAGTATGTACCTCAGGATTCTTGTTCATTACCGTAAGCTCACCAACAAGGAATGGAAAATTAGTGAAGACCGCTTTGAAAAGATGCTCGGCAGGCTGAAGAGTAAGCTTTTGTGATATGGAGGGAGACTTACCCTCAATAACACTGCCCTTTCTAGTCTACCGATGTTCGTGCTATGGTTTTTGAAATACCCAAAGGGGTGTTGAAAAGGCTAGACTTTTATCGATCTAGGTTCTTCTCACAATGCAAGGAGCAGAAACGGAAGTACAAACTTGCTAAATGGTACATTCTGTGTAGGCCTAAGGATCAAGGTTGATTGGGCATTGAAACCCACTAACTCAAAACCAATTGCTTACTCAGCAAATGGTTGTATAAGCTAGTTAAGAGGAAGGTGTTTGGCAAGAGTAGTTGCATAACAAATACCTGAATTCCAAAACATCACCCCAAGAAGATGCTAAGCCTACTAATTCACCGTTTTGGAGGGGCTTGATGAAGGTCAAGTCATCCTCTTTCAAGAGAGGTTCCTTTAAGGTTGGTGACGGCCAATTGACGAGTTTTGGGGAAGACGGATGGTTGGATGACACTCCATTAGCTCTACAATAATCGACCCTGTATAGTATTGTGTTCAGAAAAGAAGATTCGGCGGCTTCTATTCTTGGGGAATTCTGGACCTATTTTTTGCAGAAAATATATTTGGAAAACGTTCCAAGATCAAAGTTGCAATGTCGTTTTTGCACAGGACGGCAGTTCTTACCAAAGATAACCTTGCTAAGCATAACTGGCATGGTAGAAAAGAAAATCTTGTTTTTGTGATCAGGAGACAATTCATCATTTATTTTTGTCATGGATGTTTACTAACGTTATCTGGTGCACCAACTAGTATTCCAAATTTGTTTGGAAACTGGTTGGGTAGTTTTCACCATAAGCTGAAGGGCCAAAATTCGTGTGGGAGTTTGTTTCATTCTCAGGGCAATATGGAATTGCCAGAGTGATTGTGTGTGTGTGTTTTAACAGATCGTCTACTCCTAATTTCTTGCACATTATCTACAGGGCTACGGCTTCAATCCGTATGTGGTCATCACTGCAGCATGTGGATGCATGTGCGCTTATGCGGCCAGAGATAAGGACTAGTATGTGACAAACTGTACTTGGTACACACTTTTTCCATTGTGAAATACTCCCATAATATAAGAGCGTTTTTTACACTACACTAGTGTAAAAAAACACTCTTATATTATGGGACAGAGGGAGTACCTATCGTAACAACATTGGGGGAAACTATACACAGTTAAAAAAGTGACGTTGTAATAATAGAAAACATGTGTTTGCAGTTCATGGAGTACATATGTGTTTTGAGTTGAAGTTGCAAGGATATTACAGTGGCTTGTACAACCCATAAACAACATTGTAAAAGACTAGATGTAAAAATGACTCCCTTAATCTAGGTGACAGTATGGCAGGTAGTATAAGTTCTGATTGGAGTACATAATGGAACCGTCCTAACTATTAGCCCGACATGACCACCTAAACCAGAAAACTAGCAATTGGGTAAGCTCTGTAGTAGTACTAACCGAAGTGATAGCTAGTACCCTTTTACAGACTAGATAAATGATCCTAGAGCATGGGATTAGTAACCTTGCTTCTAATATACTCTAAACATGAGTAAGGTGCTTTGTGGCTGCAAGTTGTGTTCACCATTTTTGTCTTATGCTATGTGCTCCAATCTACTATAGAAGGCTAAAGAACTTCTTGCTCTCTGCCCGGATCTGAACTATCTAATTTTATATATTGTGTGCCTTTCAAGGCGAACGGAGGGAAATCGCTGACTGGGTAACAGTTGACTTTACACCATAAAGAGAAAAGCGCATGCACACTAAGATCCATCTGCGGTAATTACATCACTAAGAACAAACAACAGAACTCTTAGCTAAGGAAAGCCAATTTCAGTAGTGTTGTATCTGTTAAGCAAGGATATGAATATATGCATACAACCAATTTGCAAATCACTGAATTCCAATGCTTCCGGAGTTAGCTATGGCAAAAGTTAACAGTTCAGTGTTTGAGAACTAACCAAACTTCTCAGGTTGAAGAATGAACTGGACAACTGGTGTGTAGTAGTCGCCATATATGATCCGCACATTGGGGTACTTGAGCCGGAGCTTCTCTAGTGCTCTCTTGAGATGTGCATTGTGCACCCATGAGAACGTGTTGTACTGACGGATGCACCCGCTCCGGGAGCCATACTCGTGGGCTGGCATATCGAGCATGTTCAAGTACACAGGAAAGCACCCAGTGGGCATCACCCCTGGCACAATAAGATCTGCTGCCCCCTCAGCGATCAATTCCTGCACCATACATGAACAATTAAAGTTGAAAGTACATTCGATGTGACAGCGAACAAATAACTCAAAGAAGCAATCACTACCTCGACACCGTCGGAGATGCCCTGGATGACATCCGGCATGAACTTGTAGGCCTCTGTAAGGCCCTTGCCTGCAAATAGGGGTGCATTGTAGTCGTTGCCACCAAACTCGCCAACAACGAACAGCGAGTTGGCATAGAATTCCTTGCATTCTTCTGCAAAAACATCACGAGAACGAAAGGTTCACAAGCAAATTCCCAATTATTTCACAATCAACCACCTACATAGCCGCAAAGGTGGGATTTAGAAATTTACCCTTGGTGGAGTTGCAGAAGGAAGGCTTGAGATCACGGAACCACTGGATTTGGGTCATGAGGGCACCGGAGTTCCAGACGACCGCACCGAGGCCCCTAGCTTCGAAGTAGGGCGTGTCGAGCGCCGTCGCGCCGGTGATGGCGAAGTTGGCCCCGTGCTTGAAGTCCGAGTGATTGGCCTTGGACGGCGGCAGCAGCGACAGCCCGAATTCTTGCGCTGCAATAACCGACCAAGCGCAGGAAACCCATCAGAACCGAATCTCGGAGGAATCAAGAAAAGCAAGCAAGAAATAACCAAATCAAACCGGGCACTCACCCAGGTGGTCGATGACTAGGCGGCCGTCGGAGCACCGGCCGGTGGGTTTGCCTAAGTAGGTCTGCCCGTAAGGCAGCCTCGCGGTGGTGAGGTTGTCTGGGACGCCGTTTGCTATCAGAAGATTGCCAACATCAGCCAGTGAGTCCCCGAAGTTGAACAGCGCTCGGTACTTCCCCTTGGCCGCCGCCTTAGCCGCGTCCACTTTCCCGGCCGACGCCGCGAGAAATACCGCCACGACCGCAATAGCGACGAGCGCCTCCCATCTACCCATCCGACCGCTCCTTGGGTCAGTCTACGCGGAACGGAAGAGAGGAAGAAGAGAAGGAGAAGGAAGACGTGATGGTGGGTGGGAGAGCTAAGAGGAAATAGCCATAAATGTTAGGGTGGGGGGGGCCTGGCCGGTGGCGGCTGCTCGTGTAGCGTTCTCCGGGCTGCCCGCGTCGCTCCCGCCGCACGAAGGAAGAAGATTATTGCGGAGGTGGGAGCAGGAAGATGGAAGCGAAGTGACCACGAAGCCGGCGGGCAAATTGGATAAAAATGACGTCGATGCGAAAGAAATTCACAAAATAAAGTGTGGTCATTAAGCCTTTCGGATAGCACCCCGACACATCGACACTACACTACATTGCTTAGTGCCCGCCTTACAGGCGCTACACGATTCACCAGCGTGAAACCCCGAGGCGAGGCCGGGGCCCACCTAAATTAAATAGTGTCTAAATCAAAGGCGCTATACTATCTAGTGTAGCGCTTGGCCCAAAGACACTATACTTTCACTTACTGACCGTCGCGAACCGGCCCTCCCCCATTCCACTCATTCCTCTCAGGAATAAAGAGGGTCGGCCGCGGCTTTCTCCCTTTCCTCTCAGTCTCCTCTATAAATCCTTTCGATCTGAAGATTACCTTCATGGATTTCTGCCCCAATCCCTCCTAAAAGGTAATCTCCTTTGATCCCCTTATTTTCATCCGTAAAATTCTTCACATTTTCTCAGATTTATAAAAGTTTGGGTGGAATCCTAGTTTTGCTTGGATTCGAAATTTATATGAAAATTTTGAAATACTGTGGTGTGATTTAGGATTTGTAGATGATTTGTAATAGTTGGGGAACATGTGTGATGTTGATTTGTATTGTAAATCATGATTCCGTAGGAATTTGTATGTACATATGAAAAAAATACTCACATATGAAATTATATTAGATGATTGTTTAAATTCCTTTTAGTATCTATGTATGATTGTTGAGATGAATACATATGAAATAATGCTTGCATATAAAATAATGCATATGAAGTATGGTAGTTTGCTCATATTTTGTTAGAAACCGAAACGATGCTCACGTATGAAATAATGCTCATATATGTCTTATTGTTTGAAATATGTAGGATGGTGTGAATTCTCGATGATTACTATTATGCTGAACACCGGACCTACTTGATTACGGAGAAGAAGATGGTAATAGGCATACTAGCTGGTACTTCATAATCTGTGTTTAGTTCAAATGTATATGTCGTAGTACTCTCACTTGTATATTTGCAGAAGCTTTTAGCCTAACCTCAACATAACAAAAACCATAATCCTAACCATAACATACTAAGAAGGCTAACCCTAACAAAATGTTAAACAATCATCTCATATTTCCATACACATTTCAAAATCCATGAAGAACTAGGGTTTGCCTAAACTTGCTAGACTTGAGTAAATGTGAGCATTTTTTAGAATGAAAAGGAGGGGATTAGAGGAGATTACCTTGAGAGGGAGATTGGGGTCAAAATCCACGAAGAAAACCTTCATATCTGCTCGATTTGGGGAGGGGTTTGAGATGGAGAGAGAGAGGAAACTGCGGCCACCACCTCTCTGTTTGAATTCTCTTGGGGTGTGTGGGGGTTGGGCTAGGGATGGCCGGTCCACGGCGGTTAGTAAGTCAACGTGTAGCGCCTTTGGGCTAGGCGCTACTTAACCGAGGTGAGGCCCGGTCTGGCCCCGGGGTGCCATGCTGGTGAGGCGTGTAGCGCCTGTCAGATGGGCGCCAATCAGTGTAGTGTAGCGCCGACCTTTCAGGCGCTACCCGAAAGGGTTAGCTGGGTGAAATAGTTTCGCCCACAGTTGACAGTTCCTTTTGTGAATTTCTTTCGCCTCTAGGTCATTTTTATCCATTTTGCCAAGCCGGCGAACATGTGACTATCGATTCAAAAGATAGCTATCACACTGAGAAAAGGTGTCCTACACGGTTCGACTTTCGGCCATTTCTGGCTACTTTGGTTGGGACTTGGAAGCTCGAAAATGAATGACTCCCCTACCTCGGCTAAGATCTAGACCAATAAATGATGATGACGGTGGGGATCTCATATTAGAACACGTCAGCAGCCGGCGCATCAAACCGGCCGCAAACACGTCCGGGCGGGTGGGCCGATCACTAACCGGTAATTAAACCCAACCCATCTAGGCGCCTGAAACCGGACTCAAATGCCCGGCCTATTCGGCGCCCCTCTGATACATCTTCAGTGTATCTATAATTTTTTTTGATTGTTTTATGCTATTATATTATCAATTTTAGATACTTTATATGCAATTTTATACCATTTTTTGGGACTAACCTATTAACCCAGTGCCCAGTGCCAATTGCTATTTTCTGCATATTTTTGGTTTTACAGAAAATCAATATCAAACGAAGTCCAAACACGGTGAAATTTTATGGTGATTTTTTTAGGACCAGAAGGGACCCTAAAAGGTTCGGGAGGAGGCCAGAAGAGTTACGAGAGAGCCACAAGCTCACACGACGCGCCCCGAGGGGGCCGCGCCACCTGAGCTTGTGGGTCCCATGCAGCCCCGTTTGACCTAATTCCAACTCTATAAATTTCCAAACCAATAGAGAGCCACCCGAAACAATTTTTCCGTCACGGCAACTTCTGTTCTTCCATGATCCAATCTGGAGGCCTTTTCCGGTACTCCAGCGGAGGGGGAATCGATCACAGAGGGCTTCTACATCATCCTTGTTGCCAAAGACCTACAGGTCCATAGTGAGTAGCTAGATGGCTTCTCATCTCTCTCTCTCTCTCTCTCTCTCCGATTTTCAATACAAGTTCTCCTCGGAGATTTATTTGATATAACATTCTTTTGCAGTGTGTTTGTTCGGATCTAATGAAGTGTGGGTTTATGATCAGATTATTTATTGAAAGTAATGTAGTCTTTACTAAACTTTACTAGGCATGATTATTATAGTTTTGTATTTCTCTCTGATCTATCTATTTGGTTTGGCCAACTAGATTGATTTATCTTCAGTGGGAGAGGTGCTTTGTAGTGGGTTCAATCTTCCGGTGTCCTCACCTCATGACAGAAGGGGTAGCGAGGTACGTATTTGTATTGTTGCTACTAAGGGTAAAATGACGGGGTTTAATCATATTGTTTGCTTTTATTCTGTCTATATTATGCCATCATACTTCATGCATTACTCTATTTGTTATGATATTAATATGTAGAGAGGCAAGCATATAAGCGCTCACGAAGTGGAGTAATAGTAGTAGATGCAGAATCATTTTGGTCTACTTGTCACAGACATAATGCCTATACACATGATCATTGACATGAATAACGTCATAAGTATGCGCTTTTCTATCAGTTGTGATGATGACATCAATACCATAGTTACACCCACCACCCCTGCTACTATACATATTGGACCAATTACTAGAGCTCGGGCACACCAATTAAATTATCAGGCACTTTCATTTCTTGGGAATAATCTAATGTTCATGAGAATATGATGTTGCCTAAAATAGATACATTTGTATTGGTTACTAATGAAGGGCTAAGCATGGACAAGAGGGATGAACACTGGAGCAGGATCAAGCATTGAGATGAAGGCACGCGTGAAAGGAACCAGAACGGTGTTTCTAATGGAGTTTTCAGCACTTTGAAGCCTCCATGATGACATAGAAGGACATGGACAAAATATACAAGATGCACTTTCATAAATTTCATCCATAGCTTATTATAGGTGATGCGCCACCTTAGTTTTGGGCCAGGCCCATGTAATTTTGAAATACTACTTCATAGGCTAGTTTTAGAGTCCGTATTGTAGGGGAAACGACTCAGGAGATTTTTTTAGTCCCACCTTGCCAAAGGTGGACGAAATCCCCTTTCTTTTTCCCTTATAAATACAACCCTTAAGGCACCATTTAGACTTGGGTTTTGTTTAGATTAAAAGTCTGCCGTAGCTGCAACTCGCGTCCTTCATTTGTGTTCAATGACCAGGCCAAGACGTCATAGAAACCCACTTTATTAATAAAGCTTTCATATTATATTCGCAATATCCATATTTCAATTTTAGTTTCTTGCTTGTTCTTCATTTTCTAGCAGGAAACAGACCCTCGTGGTCAGGTTGATCGTGCTCCGGCATGCTCAATTACCTCTTGGAATTGGTTTAGCGATTGCTAAGGCGCGATGTCTTGGCACGTTCGTTGTCGGATCGTCAAAATTGACTTCCACCGAAAACGATACCAACCTCTCATTGAAACATTGGGACACCCTAGCCTCTATCAAGTGTATCAGATTTCCAGGTTGCTCGGTGAGATTTTCCAGTTTTTCATAGTTTAGATCGCATATGTTCTTCACACCTACAGTCCACGAAAAAGACACAAAAAATTAGGGTTAGATCATCATATCCGAACCAATCAAAGCCTTTTGCAATTTTCTTTTTGGTGTTTTGCTTTGTTGAATTTGCAGTTGCATCATCGTCTCGAGTTGCTGATCTTAGCGTCTAGTTCCCTTAGAGTTCCGAGTTATAGTCACGGGTTTTCATGCCGCTACCGCATCATCTTCATCGTCGCTGTCATATAGCATTGATACGTCTCCAATGTATATGTAATTTTTTATTGTTCCATGCTATTACAGAATCAATCTTGGATGTTTTATATGCAATTATATATATCATTTTTTGGGACTAACATATTAACCTAGTGCCCAGTGCCAGTTGCTGTTTTTGTTTGTTTTTCGCTTTTCAGAAAATCAATATCAAATAGAGTCCAATTGGCGAAAAAACTTTGGATTATTTTTCCTGGACTATAAGGGACCCTCGGAGGTTCGAGAGAAGACTAGACGAGACACGAGGGAGCGACAAGCTCGCTAGGCGCGCCCTATGGGGGTGCCCCTAGGCTTGTGGGCCCCTCGTGGAACGTCTTGACCTAATTGTACCTCCATAAATTCCCAAATATTCCCAATACATCATAGAGCCACCCGAAATACTTTTTCCGCTGCCTCAAGTTTCTATTCTTCCGC